ACCTGATGCTGCCCTTAGCTTAGGACTAATTGATAATTAGGGAGCTAATCTGTTGCTAACTCTGGCTGTAATTCATGGGTTTGGGTGACTGTAGTTATTGCTCTAAAATTTTTAATCAGTAAGAATTTATACATTAAATTGTTGCTTCTTCTTTTTTATATGATGTATGAAAGGGAAAAAAATTTGAATGGAGGGAAAATTTCAAGTAAAAACGTACACAAAATTTAAATTTGGGTGAAATTTTGGAAAGGAAAATATGGTTTCCCACAAACAAGAAAATTCTGGTCTAAAAAAAACGGGGACCTTCCCTCCATTTTTCTTCTTAATTACATCCCCCCACTGTTAATTAAATCTTCTTAAAAGTTTTTGCCCAGGAGTTTGTGCACACCCCTTTTATTGCACATAATAGTTTGTGAAGGAAGTATAAATAGTGAAAAAAAAGTCTAACAAATGTGTCAATTATTCTTGTACGGATCGGAGAGAGTATATCTTTAAGCCTATACAAAAATATATAAAAAAAATATTATAAATATTTTCCCATAACCACTAATGGTATCTAGACACTAAATGATATCATCATATATGACAAGAATATAAAAAAATGATTTCAAAAATACTATATCAAGTCTATATAATTACAGATCTTATCCAGATAATTAACCATATCATCCATTAAACAGATGATATCATCCACATGATTAATCATCAAAAACTTTTGTTACATCCGATCTAAAATAATATTACTATACATCGAGGTAACTTTTATTAAATTTAGGGTAACTTTTAGACTTTTTTGGGTAACTTGTATGCTTATAACTTTTATTTATATCAGAGTAACTTATATATTATGGGCAACTTTCATAAATTATAGGGTAACTTTTGATGATTTAAGGTAACTTTACAGCGGATGTACAATTGTACATCCGATTTTTCAAAATATTTGTCATTAATCATACTCCTTTTGTTCCTATTTGTTAGTCCCATATCCTATTTTAGACATTTCAAAAAAATCTACCCATATTGAATATATTCCATTTTTAACATAACTTTTTCCCCCTATTTTACTGATATTGAATATATTCAAAAGCTTGTAAATAGACAACTTGGCTTCGTAAAAAAAAACGGTTAAAAATTGTCAAAAACATCTAATTGGTTAAATTAATTGATTGTGGATTGATGAGATGGATCTAAGTAAGGAAATTCGCACTTGAATTATGCAATTATGGCGGATGGTTTAAAAAAAAAAATCAAAAATTTAAATAGGGCAAACTAATTGTAAACTGTTTTTGTACTATAATGTTAGATTTCAAATTAAATATTCTTTTCTTATTTCACGTAATTGATTACATATGGGACTATCATATGAAAACAGAGAGAGTATCATCTAGTAAATGGATGATATTATTATTCGAGCTCAAAAAACGCACGTCTTACCCAGTTCGTGATTCATACATGCAGGCTGGTATTGCATGTGCTTAATACACCCGGAAGAACATAAGCTATAAATATAAGAACATAACTTATAAATAAAAGAACATTACATATAAATAAAAGAATATTACCTATAAATAAAAGAACATAACTTATAAATAAAAGAACATTTCATATAAATATATTCTTTGAATTTATATAATAATGGGCATATAAAAAAAACGTAGTCATAATAATTTATTAAAATAAAAGAACATAACTTATAAATAAAAGAACATTAAATATAAATAAAAGAACATTACCTATAAATAAAAGAACATAACTTATAAATAAAAGAACATTTCATATAAATATATTCTTTGAATTTATATAATAATGGGCATATAAAAAAATTTGTAGTTATAATAATTTATTAAAATAAAAGAACATTACATATAAATAAAAGAACATTATCTATAAATAAAGAACATAACTTATAAATAAAAGAACATTACAAATAAACATATTATTTGAATTTAAATAATTATGGGCATATAAAATAAATCGTAGTTATAAACATATTTTTTTTTTCAAAAGGGTGTTTGTTTAGGGGGATAACAGGAGTGGAATAAGTTATGTTTTTCGATAAAGAATATTACTTATAAAATAAAGAACATTACCTATAAATAAAAAAAAAATCAAATTTATACAAAAATATTATTTTATATTTATATAATGTATTTTCGAATGTACCATGCACACGATACACCTCTCTCCACTATACTATTTTTATGTCTTACAATACCAATAGTTAAGTAAGACTTCTCTGAGCCAATAATACTTCAAGGTAATGAGCTCATAGCTTCAGTAAAGAAAATAACTTTCCTTAGCATGATGCAAATCAAGTGACGAAACACAACCACTCAATTGACAAAATGCTAAAATTTGTTGGCAATGTCAAGTTGTATTGCGTGTCATCAATAAATCGTGGAGGTGAATGCGTCAATTTTGTCGCCATTATTTGATTAAATATTATACGTTAAAGGGGTTCATTAACGAACAAGTACCCATCCATATTTTTAGTTTTATAAAGAGGTTCAATTTGTATTTGCTTGGACTAACATAATTCTGCTGCCAACTTTTCCATGACAGGAGAAAGAAAATCATATCATACATAAATATTTAAATGGTAAAGTGTGTTATTTCAAATTAAAAAATTACAATTAATAAATAAAGAACTGAAGTATACTCCGTATATGACAATATTACAGCTAGCTCTTAAGTATTTCTTTAAGCATGGATACATCATTTTTTAGTTATTATTAATTCAAAGTTATTGCTGCATAAGCAAATTTACGTCAGTGACAAATTCTAAATTTTACTAATATTCAGTAATCATTTACTTTTTCCAAGTAATATTGCATATCTTTTATAACTATTATTAAAATAATAATCGCTGATATTATTTATTTATTTTTTTCAAATTGTACACGTGTCAGCTTCTCTTTCATTTTTTTCCTGCAAAACTTATTTTTTCTTTATTATTATTATTATATATATATATATATATATATATATTAAAATCTAAATATTAACTGCAAAGTAGTTTAATACAGTACATTAAACTTTTTAGTTTTCATTACTTTTTCTTTTAAAAACATTTCTAAAGTCTTAAGGAAAATAAATGTCAACCTGGTATATATGTGATTAGTCCATCTAATTACAAAGTCCGCTAAATTTTATTGTAGACATGAATTTTCTTTTGTTTATATTATTTTAATTTTTGTAAATGTTAATAATATTGTAAGTAATACAAAGATTTTACATATTTTGACATATATGTCTTTGAAATTTACACAATTATAAATCCTTTTTATTATATCCGTGCATCGCATGGGAGCTACTCTAGTAATAATAATAACAGTGTGTCTTGTGTGCGCCTGACCACACCATGTGACCACATGCAAATGAACCAAATAACCCTTATAATATTAACGGAATAACCCTATAATATTGACCGAGTAACCCCTATAACATGTACTGATTGAGTAATCCCTATAACACTAGCGAAGTAACCCCTGTAACACTGACCGAGTGCTCTATAACACTAATGAAGTAATCTCTATGATAGAACATACACATTGTGGCTAGCCATATATAAGAATTTGCGTAATGATAATAATAATAATAATAATAATAATAATAATAATAATAATAATAATAATAATAATAATAATAATAATAATAATAATAATATAGTAATAACAATAATAATAATAATAACAATAACAATAATAATAATAATAATAACAATAATAATAATAATAATAATAATAATATAGTAATAATAACAATAATAATAATAATAATAATAATAATAACAATAATAATAATAATAATAATAATAATAATAATAATAATAATAATAATAATAATAATAATAATAATAATAATAAACAGACAAAGTCATACAACCTACAAAATATTATTATTATTATTATTATTATTATTATTATTATTATTGTTATTATTATTATTATTATTATATCTCAAAAACAGACAAAGTCATACAACGTACAAAATATTAGTGGGAAGCCGAGATACAATCTAAGCCCCCACTCCTCTAGCTATAGCAAATCCTATCCTAGTGAAGATATGAGCAGCAGCACGTGCCCCAATGTCTTGGGTCTTCGAGAACTTTTGGATCCGCTTCAACAATGCAACTGCCTCCTTCTCTAATTCCCCAAGTGTAGAGAAAGAGAAAGGAAGGAAGCCATATGCAATTGCCCGACAACTGGATTCGTACTTGACCTACTTATGATGAGCTGCATCAGCCACAACCCGTCCAGGAACAAAGTCAGATATCCCAGACTGTGTCAAAGGAGAAGACCCTGTCAAGTCAACACAGACATTGCAACCACTATCCCATGAATAAGGTAACACATCTGCAGGTCTGAGGGCCCCGTCGTTCCTTCTAGACAACTCAATGTCAACCTCCCTTCTATTATTATTATTATTATTATTATTATTATTATTATTATTATTATTATTATTATTATTATTACTACTACTACTACTACTGCTACTGTGTTTATTTGAATTAATATACTTTAGTGTTAACTCATTCTTTTTTATATTTAGATTTAATTTAGAGGTTTTTTCTTTTTTCATTTTTATCAACAATGACAAGGCAAAATTAACTTATACGAAGGATAAAATTAGAGCTACAGAAAATATTAGGCTTAGCCGTTTTCTCCAATCTCACTTGAGCTTAACAACAAACACAATAAATAAATTAGTATTAGATTCCAAACCAAACACCCCCATTTAACACCTAATAATACTTCTATTTCTTAAACCATTGTTATTCTTGTAAAGTAAGAAAAGAAGGTTTAAATAACAAAAGACGTTACAAACCTTGAGGAAAGTCGTCCTAAACTCCTAAATGCTAGAAAAAAGCTAAGGGTCTTAAATTCCTAATTCAAGGTATAATATGAACTAATCTTGATTCAAGGTAAGGGGTTTTACAAATATTAAAAGTCAAGGAATTAAAATATTAATTTAACGACTACTAATATTGACCCCTTTTCGTATAAATAAAAAAATTGGTATCCCTTTCATAATTAACGTGTCACTTTATGTTTTTATTTTTTTTTTTTTTTTTTTTTTTTGACACAACTTTATGTAATTATATATGTACTTCAATACTTGTGTGTATATATTGCTTGCAATTTTGGTTGCCATAAGCAGAACAAAAGTCAGAAACAAAAGAGAGAATATACTCGTTTTTACAGGCGAAAAAATGGAAGACAGCATGAATTGGAACAAGTCAAAGTGTCTCAAAATTTGCCAAAGTAATTTGCTAGATTATGTCCTATTATTCAAGATTAAGAGGGTATTATCATCCGTTGATCATCGTTCTTTTCGGTTGTTCTTGAATAATTTCTTCTGGCGTCCGCCTTCAGCTATAGAATTTCAAACTGATCGAAGTTCTAAGTAGAAAATAAATATGTTATGGTTAGAAATAAGGTGTTACGACTGCGTACGAATAAGGGACAAACTCAAAGACGTGATCTATAGCTTATTAGCTCTATTCGATCGTCGGACCTGGGCTACTGCTATGCTCCGGGACTTGTCTAAATCTAACCACAAAGTTTGCAGACTCTTCTTTGCAAGAATATTTGCAAATGATTGGAGGAAACACTTGGTATTTGTTTCTGATTTGATATGCTATACCTACAAGTTACGTTCCTCGGCTTCTTGTAAGTTCCCTAGCACCTTGACTTTATTTTTTAGATGTTTATATAGTGGTCGTTTGAAATATGACTATTATATTATTTTAATGATAAGATAGTAACATAATCGTCCATTTTTTTACATTATAATATGAAGACAATTAGTTACTCTTTTAATATCTACAATGCAAAAATAGTTTTTGAAAATTTTAATCCAACATTAAAAAAAATATATTTGGAGAAATTGTAAAACAAAAATAAAAATTACATAAATTAAACTAAAAATTGGATAAATAAAAAAATGTTGATGATACTCTTTTATACCAAAAATTAAGAAGTAAACTTTATAATTTGAGAAAAATAAGTCAATTATGGACTATATAATCATTAAAACATTGTGGTAATTATATTTCAAACGGCCACTATAAATTTTTTATCTTTTACACCCTTCATTTATGACACTTAGCAATTTTTTTTTTTTTTTTTCATTTTTCAAACTTACTGCTCATTCTATTTTAGCATGGGATCACTGTTATTGTGAAAATATATATTTGTTACACTCTTCCATTAGCCCCACTCGTATATATTCTTTACATTATTGTATACATTTCCAAATGATACTTTAATTTCTTACTAATATTACGAGCAATTTCTAGTGTACAAGTATTTACGACTGTAAAAGGATTTTAGAGTATAGTGGTAGCATTAAATAATGATCATTCACATGTCCAGTAATTTTGTTTTCTACTAAGTACTTTACAAGAATGACCCAATTAAGTGACTCTCATAACCAAGAAATCTTAACGGAGTTGGTGGTCAACTCACCTTGTGACTTAAGCCACACCAACTACATTTGCTTGAGAGTAAGGGGATTCCCTTACCTCCCTTTATCCTCTACATTTAAGTGATGACCTGCGTTGTTTAACTTAATTAATCTGTGAGAGATTTTAGTATTATAGGATCATTCATCTTACCATAAAAAAAATAGTAGTAAATGGTTCTCATGGATCCCTCAATCAAAAGTCAACTTTGTGTAAATTTTCTCTTGCTTATCTTAAAAGGTCTAGGTTAAAATTTATTCATATATAAATCTAGATAATTAAGTTGTCTAAACCACCACATGGTAGAGTTGAAGACATGCAACACTATATAATTTGCTCACGAATTGGTCATTCTTAGTGCATATTAAAACTTAATAGAGAGTACGTAAATATGTTTATTTTATTCTATTTACAAGAGTATGTTAAGAATTTTTATATAGTTTTATTTTCTAATTTCATATTGTATGGGTTCTCTAGGTCACTAGGTGGAATTTGTTTACTCCCTCTAATTCATTCGAAGTATCAATTAGTTGTCTGCATAACTTAATTTAAATGGTAATATATATAATGCTTATTAATACACAACTAGTCTTTTGGCCCATGCCATGCATAGACTATATACAAGAAAATTGAAAAAGAAATTTGTCCCTTGGAATAATCTCAATGAATGTTTTAGGAGAAATGTTGTAACCGTTGTGTGATTTTAACTCTATCAATTAATGAAAGTTAAGGAGTAGGGGAAGAAAATAATTACTTTGTTGTGTTATATAGTGGTTTAAATGTTAACATGTTAATTATTTCTCAATATGTTTAGGATCGTTGTGGCGCCGGTGGGGGAGTTGCGACAATTAGGGATCTATGGCTGTGATATTTCAGGAATGTGGTGGTGGTGGTGGTGGTGGAATGAACAAAAAATAAGAAGCAAAGAGGGATGGAGAAAGAGGTACAATGGCCATGGTATTTAGCTAGGTAGTAAAACGCTAGTGATGTTTAGCTCCTCACCTATATAATGGTAGTTTATTATAGGTTATACCGTCATTCTTGTTGATAGTGGTGGCTTACCCTCAATTGTTCTTCCATAAAAACATGTACTTGTATAAGATAAGGGAGAAAAGTTAAAAGATTTAGCTTGTGGCTCGTTGGTCGGAGTGTGTGGTTTCGTTGGCGAATGGAGAGCGTTAGTAAGACTAAAAAAAAGAGGAAAGATTGGTGGGCTATGTAGGGTTACCATAATAGGATACAAGAATCAGGGGCTAATGTAAACAATGGACAAGTTGTTGGGTGTGTGGTGGTGAGGTGAGGGGGGGGGGGGGGGGGGGGGGGAAGAGATAAGGGTTTAATGAATGTTATGGTGGTAGGGAGCCAAAATTTAAAGTTAAAAAAAATAATTAAAAAAAAAAATTATTATAGTAAAAAAAAAAAAAAATAGCGAGGTGTTGTTGCACACACCTAATATTATAGCTGGTGTTGTGGAGTACATACGCTTCAAGCTATGTTGTGCCGTGATTTAATAGGTAAATTTCAACTTTAAAATTCCATTGCATAATTTATTTAATTAATTAATTACTTATTCTTTTCCTCAACTAACATTTACATGATTGTTCTGGTTTTTAATAGCCGTTTCATATGATAACATAATTAGAAAATTAAGCTAAAACATATTGTAATTCACTATTATAGTTGCCCTTAGTGACATGCAAATGCAATGGACTGCTAGAGTGGGATCTTATCCATTTCAGTCTTTGTCAAAATTCGTTTTTGATTTGAATATTACTTCTAGGTCGGTCGTTCTCTTTCAATCACTACTGTTAAATTAGTAAATATAGTTGGGGTTGTGTCATACTTGTGTGCCTTATGCTTGGTAAGGTCCAACCAAATGGTTAGCCCACTTACTACACGTCGAACAAAAATATTCAAAAAGTCAACTAGGCCAGCCTTAACCCACATGCTACTTTGTTGAATCATGCTTCAATTCATATGTCATAAACTTCGTTTTGTACGGTGCCTTGTTGTGCTTATGTGAAAAAGTGTGGTACAACATGATCAACATACATAGTAGGGAGTTATACATGGCCAAATAGGTCATTCCAAATTGTATATGATCTAATCCTTCTCTTTTTCAGAGTATTTTAGGTTTTTCCATCATTATAGAGTTATTTTATTTTATTTTAATTACTATAATTTGGTAATAAGGTAAATAAAAATTAACATCCTCGACAACGTACATTTAGGTGATCTTGAAGCAAAATACAAGAACTCTACAAATGGCTCGGATAGTAAGTCTCCAGGCACTAATTTGTTGCTTCACCCCATAGGTAATTCCTTGCTTGAACAAACCCTCTAAATATTAGTTTTTTTTTTTTCCTTACTATTTTCATTTAGTTTGTCATATATATAATCCTAGTCGTATATGTAATGCGACTTAAGACTCATTTTCAACAACATAAGCTTTATAACATCAATATATTAATTAATAGTTTGCTAATTATTATTTTGTGTACCCGGATGCACCATGCGCATGGTGCACATATTTAAAAAAATCAATAACAAAAAAAACATTGTTATAAGGTGTTAAGAAAATGGATATATATACAAAAGAATGTGTCATTGTTTGTAAATAACATTTATGATACTGTGTTCTCCTTGTAATTTTCTCTCTAAAATTAATTTATGCAAAAAATAGTTCAAGATTTCACTTTCAAATATCTAAATTTAAAATTTAAAATTTCATTTACAAAATTCAAAATATTTTATTTTAGTCATATTTTTTCAACAATTTTTTTTAATTTCATATATAATTATAATATTCATCTTAATAATAATTATCATGTGTAGTTCTTGTGATGTTCATTATATGATTTAATCATGTTTTTTTTTTTTACTAAAATATTAACACAATATTCTTTCCATATGTTAATTATGATTGTATCATACTTCCTCCGCTTCTTTTTAGTTGACACGTTTCTTTAGTCACGTTTGCCATTGCACAAATTCAACCGTTAATATATTTAATTACCGATAAGAAAAAATTATAAAAAGTTGATACTTTGAAAGTATATATTGTGAGGAATCTAACAAGACCCCACATGACTATATTTTTCATTACGTATAAATCATAAACCTTGGTCAAAGGGAAGTGTATGAATAGTGCTAAAGTCAAAACGTGTCAACTAATAAAAAACAAAGGTAGTAAATGATCTTGATTAGATCTTTTTACAAACTAATTAAAATGTCCATATTCTTTTATTGTAATTGTAATAATGTATTTTTTATGTTCACATAATGTTCATCATTTAATGTGAAATGTTTTTTGAATTTTGTTTTTTGATCATGCTAGGTATATATAAATAATGTTCATTGCATAATATCATCCTGTTTTTTATTAGTATTAAGAATGTTCTTTAGATACGAAAATCAATCATCAATAAAGGAGGTCTTAAAAGAATATCGTCATCATCGATTTTTAAATCCTGATTTAAAACATATATATACACATTTAGATGATAATTTATATACAAAAAAAATAAAGAATTAATAACTAATATTGAAGATTAAGGGGTCAAACTTGAAAAATATAAGCGATAAATTCATAGAACGTGGCACTAAAACATATACAAGCTTAATAATAAGAGCAAGAACTTTGAAGAACACAAGGGATAATAAAAAAATAACACAATGATAAAACAAATATAATACCCAAAAGATCATGAAGGAATAAACGGACATGAGCATTGAAGAACATATTATTCAAGTAAAAGAACACACTTTGTATTATTGAAACCCAAAAACTATTTTTAAACTACATATAATAAAAAACACAACTATAATATACAGAACATAGTTCATACCCAAAAAACATAATGATCAAAATCGAATAAAATGTTATGCTCGTCTTCTTTGTAAATGAATGCGGTGTTCTTTTTTTTTGTGAAATTAATATTTCTTAAAAACTTATTATTTATATATTTATTTTGGATATTTAAATGTGATTTTTCCTTATCGTCCATCACTTTGTACTTAACCTTTTGAAAATTGGCAGAGATACATCATAATAAAATTGTAGCATTGAACATCAACAATGGAGCTGATCGAAAGAAGAAATGCAAAAATGTTTCCGTAAACATAGGCAAGGAAATAAATTTGCTTAAACGTAAACGAGGAAAAGAAGAGAAAAAAGTGAGTTTAGAAGACATAAATTCCTATATATCTCTAAGTTTCACACTTACAGAAGCTGCTGAATGCCTTAAAGGTAGGTCTATTCTTTTATTAATAAGCTAGCCACATCATGCGCGACCATTCAACATTTACATATATATTACTAAAAAGATAGATATTGTTTCCAATTCATATTGGTAACATTGTTCTTTATATTTATTGCTTGCATGAGAATTAATGCTACCTTGCATTTTAGTGGTCCAGGGATCAAATCTCATAGGCTTCATTTGAGGATGTTTAAGCTTTAATTTAATTGTTTACTCTTTACATTTCATCCCTAACGATTTCATTATATCATTGTAATTTTGAAAGAATAATTCAATAGCTTCAATGATTTTGCTTAGTAGTTTGCTAATTTCTATAAGAGCTCTTACTTGGGAAAAATTGTTTCAGTGAGCAGGTCTACATTGAAGCGCAAGTGTAGGCAATTAGGAATTTCTCAATGGCAACCAAACAACAGAAGAAAACGTTTTCGTCATACTTCACAAAGTAAAAAGGTATCTGAAATTTCTTCTAAACTTGAAGTTGCAAGCCTAAAATCAATCTCTTCAACACTAGATGGCAATGTTGTAAGTCAGTACATGCAAGCTCCGGGTACAAGTAAAACGGTACCTAAATTTGAATCTCAATCAGAAAAAGTAATCCTTGATTCAATTTCTCTAAGGCCGGATGATGTAAGTCAATACAAAAGTGTCTATGGAACTCCAAAAGATGAAACCGTACCCAGATTTTTTTCAAGACTTAAAGCTGCAAGCCTGAACTAAATTGTTTCCATGAAAGATTTAAGCCAATACATGACGAAGTATGAAACTCATAGGAGTGAAAAGGTAGCTCAATTTGGTACTTCACCGCGAGATGTCAAACAATACAAATGTTTAAATTAGAATTTAAGTGATCATAAATCATTAGTACTCTTCCCAATTATACACTCTCATGCATGTAATAGGATTATGTCAGACGTAAATATATCAGGAAGTACAATGAAAGATGATCGATTGGTTGAATCTAATGAAAAGATTTTAGTTCACAATTCTGCTTTAGGCCAATCTTCAAGCGTCTCATCTCCACTAATACAGCAAGCTGGTGTGCAAGATGGAATGACTTCACTTATAAAGGCCACATACAAAGATGATATGATAAGATTTCATTATTGCTTCAAAGCCAACATTGTGGGGCTTAAGAAAGAAGTGGCACAAAGACTAAGTTTAAAGTTGGGAACCTTTAAAATGAAGTATTTGGATGATGAAGATGAGTGGACTTTACTAGCAACTGATTTGGACTGGCAGGAATTTATATACATTTCAAGATCATCGAGGAAAAATGCAATTCGGCTATTGGTCCAAGATATGCAATTCGGCTATTGGTCCAAGATATGCAAAGAAAGGAGGAAGACAAGAATGACTTTGAGACTACATTATTGAAGTTGTAAAATTTATCCAATCAATTTTCATGAATTTTTATACTTCTGAACATTGTTGTGCTTCATACAAATTTATGAATAATTTCTGTCATGCAAATGAAGGATTTTTCCAAGTTTTCTTTTAACCATACATAGTATTATTCTAACAACTGAAAAAGTATGTAGAAATTGAAAAAGTGGTTAAAGATGCATTTAAATGATACTAAGCTCAATGCAAACAAGAGAAGCGACTAATAGTCTGATACAGAAGTCTTTTCAACAAACACTACAGGTGCACATTTAACTGTTAGAGATATGAGATATCGAAAAATATCGGGATATATTTTCCGTATTGATATTATTAGGAGAATAATATATTTAGGATTAGTTATGTTAATATTTTATTTAGTGAATTTATCTTTAGGATATATGGTTATGATAGTATATCTTTTAAGAATATTGTTTCCTATCTTATAAGTGTAGGTTTTGTATAAAACTCTAACTATTGATCAATAATAATGAAGTCATATTATTATCTCTTTTCCCCTAATTTGTCATGGTATCAGAGGAGGTTGTATCTTGTGAGCGTTAAACCCACAGGTGGGATAAACCTTGAGCCAAAAATATATATAATTTTTTTTAACACTTTTGCATGTTAATGCTGTTTAAGGATCTTTGATAATGTTTAATTTCTTGGTGATAGCTTAGCTTGATGTAATTACATCATGCGTGGATTTTGTCACTCATTATTGGTGTGCTTGTTGATCCACGAATTAATAAAGAAGAAGATAGGAGACATCATACATGGATGAAGAACCATAGTTTCCTTTAAAGATAAAAAAAGATTTTTTGGCTCTCCTGTGTTGTGAGACAAGATATTTTGGTTCTCCTCGTGTCGTGAGATAGGGTTTATATATTGGTTTCCCTTGTACGATGAGACATGATTTATATATTGCTTCTTTTTGTGCCACGAGACAAGATTTTTATATTGGTTCCCCTTGTGCCGCGAGGACAAGTATTACTTTAACTGTTTTGAGTGTCGTTCGATATGAAAAACCAATATTTGTTTGGTGCTTGGTTTCGCTCAGGAAAAACTAAATTAAATTGACAGTTCGTGAAAAAGAGACGTTCTCTTTATAATGTTATTTTTGCAGGTTCAAAAAGAATAACGTTCCTAGCTTGGTTGATTATTGATGGGTTCGAAAAGCTGAACATTCTCATCATTAAAAAAAATTGATGATGACATCACAAAATTAGTGCATCTTGACTTCAACAAAGTGAAGAATTTCCAATCGCAACATTCGTGTTACTGCCATTACGAGTACGAGAGGGTATTAGAGATACGAGTTATCGGAAAATGTCGAGATATATTTTCCGTATTGATATTATTAAGAGAATAATATATTTAGGATTATTTATGTTAAGACATTATTAAGTGAATATATCTTTAGGATATATTGTTATTGTAGACACCTGGTTGTGTCTCCTCAAAAACCAAACCCAGTGATGAGTACCTTTCACGTTTTGATTAACGAGTTCTGTAAAGAGTTGAAGAGTCTCGTGAAGTTTCCTTAAGCCTTGACCATATTTCTAACCTTTCTTAAAATGTTTTAAACCCAAAATCATTCATTTCGTGTCCTTAAAATCATTCATTTCGTGTCCAAACCATAAAAACGTCAAAACCTGATTATTTTGGTCCATGATCCCGGTCAAATTATTGTTTAGTTGGATGGGGCTTGAAAATTATATGTTGCTTGATTATTCATGATTTATTGTTATTACTTGATCACGCCCCTTTTTGCAGGTTTAAAAGGAATTTGTACTTGAAATCACGCCTAATAAGATAATTAGTAATTTAATTTTAGGTTAATATGATATTAATTCAAGTGATCACCAATAATAGATTTATGGTTAATATGATATTAATTCAAATAATCCCTCGGAATATCCTGAAATTCCGTCGGAAATGCCGGTTTCCGACATAATTCCGTCGGAAGGCACCGTCGCATTACATTGTGTAGGAATTTGGCTATATTCCGAGGGAATTTCCGTCGGAAATGTCCATTCCGACGGAATTTCCGACGGAATTAAGGTTGTCGGAATCAAGTTTGACTTTATTGGGAATTCTGTCGCATCGTTTCGACGGAATTGTTTTCGTCGTTATAATTTACCTTCCGATAGAATAGTCCGTCGGAAACTTCCGACGGACTCAAATCCGTCGGAATTATCCGTCGGAACCTGCCGGAAAAATAAATAAAAAAAAAGAAAAAAAAACCTACCTCGCCCTCACCCACCAGGCCCACCACCGTAAACCACCACCTTAACCCACCAGATCCACCACCGTAACCCACCACTGTAACCCACCACACCTTAACCCACCAAAACCCTCTAACCCAAACCCTAACCCCCCACGCCTAACCACACCCTTAACCCACCACCGCTAATAACCCTCTTTACCCCACCAAACCCACCACCTTAACCATAACCAACCATCTTCACCTACCAGACCCAAACCCACCCACCAGAACCCACCAACCCGAACCCACCTCACCACCCACCAAAAAAAACCCCTAACCCATGACACAAAAAAAAAAAAAAAAAAAAAAAAATCAAAACATAAAATAAAAACCAAAAATTCAAAATCAAATAAACAATCTAAAATCAACACAAAATTCAAAATTTAACAAAAAAAAATTATACTATACAATTATCACATATATTTTAACTTAAATATACAATTATTTCAAAAAAAAAAGTTATACATTGAAAATTTGAACAAAATAAAACTAGATCTAATTCTAACCAATATTAGATGTAGATCTGTTTTCGGTGTTGGTGTTGTCGGAGGTTGTTGCGGTGGTGGTGTTCTTGCGCGGCCTTGGTGTTGTCGGTGGTTGTTGCGGTGGTGGTGTTCTTGCGCGGTTGGTGTTGTCGGTGGTTGTTACAAAGAGGAGTGATAAGGAGATCGAGAAGAAAGAGAAAGGGGGAAAAAGGAGGGATGAGAAGAGAAGAAGGAGGGCCGAGAAATTAAAGGGAAAGAAGAAGAAGAACAGGCAAATTTTCCCAGAGGGAAAGAAAGAGAAAGAAGAGAGGAGAGAGAGGAGAAAGAAGAAGAGGAGGAGAGAGGAGAGAATAGGAGAGGAAAGAGTGGGGGGTTCTGTGAGATCCGTCTTTATAGGATTTATTTATTTTTTTAATAAAATTCCTTCGGAAAAGGGTAAAATTCCGTCGGATTTAATATCCGTCGTAATTTTCCTACGGAATTAAAACCCGTAGGAAATTATAAGTTCCGAGGGATTTATTTTCCCTCGGAATTTACAGGTTCTGACGGAAAAATCCGTCGGGAGAAATTTTCCGAGGGAATATTTCGTTGGAAGCAGTAAATTCCGAGGGAAAAAAAATCCGTCGGAATATTTCCGAGGGATTTTCCGTCATAACTTAGTTTTTCCGACGGATATTTCTGACAGACCAAAATTCCGTCGGAATTTTCGAATTCTCCGACGGAATTTAAGTCCGTCGGAACGATTCCGTTGGAAAACGACCTATTTCTAGTAGTGGCGGATCTTGAAAATTTTTCTTTTGGAGGCCAATCAAAACTAAACATGTTACATATATATACAAAGTATAGAATTTGAGTAATAAAAACAAATACTATTAATGTTATCAAATCTATTAAAAAATCGCTATAATTATTAAATTAAAAAGTAGTTAAATAAGAAATAAAATCGCTATAATTATTAGATTAAAAAGTAGTTAAATAAGAAACAAAATCGCTAAAATAACAAGTGTCACAATCCCATTCTCAAACCAATAACTAAAGAAACACGTCGCTCTTTTAATAATCTAAAATCATCAATAATAGACTTTGTACTTAATATATCAATAAAAAAAATCATTAATAATAGAAATTGCAAACATCAATATATTGATTTGAAAAAAAAAAAAAAGAAAAAAAAGCACAATATGCACACTTAAATAAAGCACTTAAATTAACCTTTGGTCCTTGGAGTCTTGGTTTAATGTGAAAATACTACCGTATTACTGCTCGTCTTCCCAAATCCCAATAACCAAATTGATGATAGTTATAGTTTGTAAGTCTAATTTGTTACTTCCTACAGTGTAGTAACTAGGATTTATTTAAAAAAAATAAAAATAAATAGATAGGCACTAGGGAAGGAATCTAGGAGAGTAGAAGATAAAGTAGGAATCTAGAGTAATAGGGAGTATCAATTCCCAATGACACGGTTAAAGGCTTAAAGAAATTATACAATTTGGGCCTACCTATAATTGTTATACTAGGCTATTTCTAATACTCAACTTATTACACTATTTTTTTTTTGGGCTGGTACCAGGGGCCAGGCCCATGATGCCCCCCTGATGGTCTGCCTCTGGAAAAATACAAATTAAATCGGATGCAACATGTAAGATATTTAGCTTTTGTATAGTGTATAGCCAGTTTGCCACTGAGCCACCATTTTAAAAAAACTCAATGATGTATGGCATTAACTTTAGGGTGCAGTGATTAAAGTTACTTGTGATTAGTTACAACAAAGTGTATATATTTCTCGAAAGTGTTAGAATTTCTTAATATATTTTATAGTGATTTCTTAATATATTTTATAGTGATATTATAACAATTAAAACCATAATGAGCATATGTAATTATTACTACGAAGTAGAAGTGTCAAAAATCGACCCAAAAATATCAAATTTTGATTTCGACTTAGTTCGACATAATAATCTAGCATAACCCAAATTTGAAACAGATCTAACCCAACTAGACTTCACCGAACCTGCCCCAAACACCCAAATGATTGTTGTTTACTTAGTCAAACTAGTAAGTTTAGCAGTGATAGTAGTGGGCTCTATCTGGTTTTTATTTATTTTGTTAGGCATGACTTCTTATTAGACTATTCGTATGTGAATGCAGTAGAGTTACTTTCTACGTTTTCCTTTTGTTCTTTGCATGGCATTCTAATTCCAAAATGGTATCAGAGCCATTTGATCCTTAAGGCTTGTGAGGTTCAAAAAAATTGTGAGAGTTCTTTCATAATTTTTTTTAATGTCTACCTCAAACAATTTTTCCTTTCCATTTTCACATTCAAAGGAGAT